TTGGGGCATTACAGACTCGACAAACTTTCCTGCCTGCAACTTTTGAACGAGATCTAGACGCAAATCAAGAGTTCAAGATCAACCTACTGCAGGAAGACATTCTTTGAACACTTCAATTCCCTAGGTTTAGCTAACGGTTCAAAGGCCAAAACTGTCGACCAATCAGCATTGGGTCTCAGAGTAGCTCTCCGCGAAATTGATTGCTATCGCTTATCCCTATCTATAGTATGCAATTGCAACTGTATGTTCAATGGAAACCCTCAATTTCAAGTATACGTCTTCCCGCTGCAGCCTTGTGTTTGACCCCTACTCTATCAAAATCTTGACTCGATTTTATAGAGAGATCTGGAATATTCAGTCCTAGGTTCTAAATTAATTTAATTAGAATTCAGCCGAATCTATTTCGGAATGGGGGACTGTGCCGCTGATGCCTTCCCCCAGCCCTGTCCCCCCAAGCAACAGGCCCTTCTTTGTGGAAGCACGGTCTTGAGATCTTTTACCTGGCAAGGCCAGTCTAATCAGCAAAAGAAATTGTGAAATTCTGCGGGACAGAGGCTATAACTTCCATATCTTATATACTTAATTTACCGCTGTCAGTCTGGATTCGAGAAAAGCGTTTGAAATACCCTTCGCTTATGCGAGACTCATGTGAAATGCCTTTCGTTTAGTGGAACATATGTGACCTACATACATACAACACCATACATATCTCTTATGTAGTCATGACTTAGCCTGACCCGTTCTGAGCCTATGCAAGAACCCCTGTGTTATGCATAGTGCTCTGCCTCTCATACCCTTTTACACGTTCACAGCAGGTTGATTTAGAGCTCCTATAGGCATTAGGTAAACTTGTTTCTATAGGCTCCGGTCATGCTAAAATAGGCTCCGCTAAATAAGCATATCTAGGCTCTGGTCGTACTCCTAACTTAGGTTTACCTTTACCTAGTTGTGCACGCGATCCTGTGCTTGAAATTACATGCCCTATAGCTACACTATACGTAGGCTCTACTGTAGTTTGATCGCTCCTATAGGTAGGATTGCTATGCGCTCCTATGCTTGAAATTACGCGCTCCAATAGCTATACTGGCTTCTTGCGCCTCTGTAGCTCTAGTAGACCCTATTTCTATAGGCTCTACAAAAATATATCTAGGTAGTATAAAGCCAGATTGGTTTCGCTATCCCAACTCCTAATACGGTACTACTAGTACAGTACCGGCTTCATGGAGTCCATTCCCTTTTAGCCTATTCCCCACAATAAGTAACTGATATAATTAATTAATATCTGTCTGAACTCATATAGGGTATAGTTTTCGATTGTTGGTGGGCTCAGGGCACTTATACTTAGACTTCACATATTGAACCTCATAACGAGGTCATACATAGTTACCTTGTACCATAATTACATATTCTCTGTATATACTACTGTACATCTCTGGAAGTACAAGATGAGTTTAATATCAAAGATAGAGAACCCATACTTTATTTGTCTAAAGATATAGTACTTAGAATAACTAGCTCCAAATATTCTATATATCACGTATTTGATTTATGTATATTCTACTATTGTAGGCAATGCACCATTGACTATGAGGCATGAAAGTACCAGACAAGCAACCAGAGTGAAGCTTACCCTGAAGTATAACTCAAATGCAACTGAAGCACGACCGGAACCTATAGAGACAGGTCTACTGGAGCTACAGCAAGGCAAGAAGCCGGTATAGCTATTGGAGCGCGTAAATGAAAGCATAGGGACGTGTACAGCAATCGTACCTGTAAGAGCGATCAAGGCTACATAAGAGATAGGTATGGTGTTGTAGGTCACACATGTTCCACTAAATATTTCACAGGAGTCTCACTTACATTTCAAAGGGGTACCGTGACTGACACCAGGAACGTCGTTAACATTTCGGCTTTGATATCGGCCCAAGTTACATTCCACTGACTTTGGGCCCAGGGTTATCGGGAATTAAGATGTCGAGTATTAATTTTTTGACGCAACCTACCGTAGAGGGTGAAGTTGCACATTGCCAGCTTAAGTTCTCTAGAGCCATCGTAGGTAACCTTGTTTCCAAATCAGGGTACTTGATCTCACCTATTCAGGTTAATATTCAAACAAATTACAGCCCTCTGGGTGACTGGCATATGAATAGGTTCGGATATTCCAAGCGCTACTTGAACCGTCCTACCATATATACTTCGTTTCATCCGATATATGTTAATTTATACTAGAGTAGGCATACCGCAAAAACTCGGAATTAGGAGTCAGTGTTTTGTCGCTATGTACATAAGGAACTAATACTAACTCTACTTAGACCAGTATCTCCTGCAGCAGTGTCAAATTCCAGTGTGTCCTCTTCCGTAGCATCCAATTCCTTAATTCTAAAGTCCGAAGACCTCGAATTTGGAGTTCGTGATCTTGACTGCCATCCGATGGTAGAGATGTGCCGTGCCAGCTTGCTCGAAGGACTTGACTACGCTCGCCCGTTTCTCTTGATGTAGGTAGTCACTCCCAGGCTCGTGCTTCAGCATGAGTATTTCATACGCCGCATACCAATGAATACAGTGCTCATAATTTTCCCCAGTACGCTACCCCATCCTCAATAACCTCATCCGAATCAGCTGCGATTCTATCCTTGAGAAGCTTATTTAGAATAATATCAAGTGGCTGAACATATTCTGTACATACTTCAGGAATATACACTGGAGTGATATGGAGCTCTTCGATGAGCTGCGAAACAGCATACCCTAAATATATCTAGAATAACCAACCGTTCAGGCTGAAGACGATCAAAAGGCGACGTCATGGAACAGATATCGTCTTTATACATTCTAACTCGATGGCTTCATTGCTGTAGGCGGCAGAATTGAAGACTCGGATACCTGGGTAGTATTGTTGTCGCTCCGCCTGCCTAGCTGCTGTCATATTGCCCATGAAAAATGAATTTCGTCTTCCTTTGCTTTAGGAGACTCTTGTGCTGCCCTTGTTCTTGGTCACCATGATACGTTCCGCCACTTACAAATCGTTGAAACCATTGTGCAGAGAATGTACATTGGCTTATCGATCTTTCCATGAAGTTGAATGCAAAGCTCAAAACACCTGTTTTCCTTCTCTTAAACCATCGCTGTCCAACAGGCTTGTCTAGACTCGTGCCTCTTCAAACCTTTCATATAACTTCTTTTCCATGTCCTCCCACCGTGCCCTTTTTTATTTTTTCTACCTCCCCAGACCTCCCACCAGAGGCTACTATTACCCCCCCTTTTTAGACCACCCTGACACCATTTTTCTTGTAACTCCTAACTGCCTACCAATAGTCTTTCCATGCTCATCCACACGAATTTACTGTAGCATAGATAAAGCTCTTAATTTGAACTCTCTAGTGTAGGACTTCCGCGTTTTGCTCAGGCACTTGACAGAGGCTTCGAGGTTGTAGAATCACTAGCATTAGTTTGGGCCTTGGGCGTACTCATACCATACCGGTAGACATTCCGAATTAGCTATTGCGTACTGAGATTTTAATTGCAGTATAGGCCCACCTCCAGACCGTGATTTGTCTTCATGCTCATCGCTGCTAAGTTGCAATACATTATGTGGTGGGCCGACGTCTGAGACATCACGACATCATCTGCAGCTGCAGTGTGGTTCAGAGCATTTGACCAGGACCCTTATTTCCGAGTTTTTGCGGGTACATATACGATGTATCGCATGCTGGCTATAATTATAAGTACTACTCACAGGATAATACTTCACAAGATTTATACTAAATTTAATACGTGAGTAGCAGAACTTTAGATCTAGCCAAACTAATAACTTTATGCTGATGGCCCATGATCGAGTAGTCTGGAGACGAGACACTTAAGTGGGGTACTATTGTCCGGTGTTCTACTTCGTATATGTTACTTCTACTTTAGGTTTCTGGGTTACTTGATTCAGCGACTACCTAGAAAGGCAGTCGTTCTGTGCCAAGGTTAATTCTAGTCTCAATGAGCCGATACTTCTGGCCTCTTTGGTGCCTACTTAGACTAGTTTGGTTGCACTAAGCCTCTTCGGTACCAGGTACCTACCTTTCAGGGTCTGTACGAGACTACTGTCAGGGCACTTGAAATGAATATATATTTAGGCCTTGTAACCTAGATACTTACATTAAGTAGATAACCTACATATTTACGTGCCAGCCGTTTGGCGTTTTACAAAGAAACAAGCAAAACCTAACCGCCCTGAACTTGAACAAAAGTTGGTTGCCAGGTACATACCTTTCCAGTTCTAAATCTGTATGACAGCCCAATGCATCCACACACCCTCCAATATGCTTAGTACTTCCAGTCGATGGAATACCAGTTCAGTGGCTATCTTTTCTAGGTTGATTTTGTAGTCTTTCATAGACTATATCTACTTACTAGATATCAGTAGAATTTATAGTGTTGTTGCTTTTCTTTTTTGACACTCCACTGAAAAGTGCCACTTTGGATGTAAAACGAGGCTATATCTGCTCATCAATTGCTTAGGTATCGGCGTGCTTTTGCCCCTTGACCCTTTGGTAAAAGCGACAAGCCAGTCATGTGGCATGCTGGTAAACTCTGGTTTGTGTTTCATCTGATATAGACGCTGAAAACCCACCTCAAATAGGGACACGCACTATTCTGCTTATGCCTCCTAAAGGCGAACGCCTCAAATCATTCCACACACATTCCACCATCTGTGCGGATGGTGTACATGCCACTATGGGAGCTGAGGAGCTCATGGCGCTTTGAGCTATGTATTTGCGTGTCTGGTATATCAAGACGGCCTGTCGAACCTTTGAAGTTTATGTGGCTGCGTAAATCTATCTAGCCCTCCATTTTCCATGAAGTACTACTAACTTTGTACAGGTATGCCCTGACGAAAGCAAATGACATGCGATTCCAAGCGAAACAAAATACTCTTACTGCTGAACTTCAATTGGGTGAATTATTCTATACTGACGATCCTTGTATTTATAACCTATTACTGTATTAGTCATACAGCTCGAATAGTTCAGTGGTAGAATTTACGCTTCCCAAGCGTAAGGCGCGGGTTCGATTCCCGCTTCGAGCATCAATCCTTTGTTTTTTCCTTTTGTTGTTATATCAATATCAGGGTAAGTAATGTCTACACATGTACTCCGTACAACATTTCACACTGACATTTCACACTGGCGCCAATTCTTTAGTTCCTTGGGCGGCTCCATTGCCTTAACTGCCTACCGCTTCTCCCTACTTAAGACCTGAATTACTCACTGGCTTCCAAATATAGTTGAGTGCCGAGATATGCCCGAGATAAATGGTATAGATAGATAAGATGCTACGGATGATGATCTGTCCTGGCTGCAGGCCTGAGGGCAAATCGAATCTCCTCACTAGGGTAGCGTTCCATTATGTAATGCGAATCCTGGCAAAAGTACTAGTATCCAACTGGTGCGAGACTATATCCAACTCATATATAGATAAGGTTAAGCTATACTACAGTTTGTACAAGAGGAATGCCCAACATCATTTTTTGGCAACCCCACGGTAATACTTTTAGCTGCTGACACATCTATTTGCTTTGCCAGTTTACCAATCCATGAAAACTCAATACATGCAGCCCATACAAATGCCATGCCCTAACCCAGCAACAATATACCCTACTTCCTGCCCTTCTTCTTTCCCGGGACCACCTTGAAGCCGACCGGCTCTGTCGTCGGTCCACTTGCCGCATTATTATTCCTTCCTGCCTTCGCCGCAACCTCATTCCACCCTCCTCCTCCACTGCTTCCCGTGCTTCCTGCTTCCACCACGACACCCTGTTGGGCACTCTTCCTCCTTCGAACAAACTCCTCGGCAAATCTATTTCCATCCATGGTGCTTGAGTTGGCATAGATGCTATCAGCAATAAGGTCGGTCTCTGGCGGGAAAGAGAGCAGGGATTGAAGGAACTCTTCCTGGTTGACGTTGCTATTGAGCTGCTTAAGAGACATACGACACCATTTCATGAACTCCTCCTGTGCAAGCATGGCTGGGGTCCTGGGGGTCGAAGCTTGAACAACTGGGTTAACAGGTGCTGGGGAAATAGCAGCCGCAACACTGTTAAGGTTGGGGTGCTGCTTGACAACAGCTACTTTTCCAAAGGATCCCATAATTCCTGTGGAAGGAATGCTCTTTAGGGACGGAGTAGCTACGGGGGTGGGTGTGACAATTGTTGTTGTTCCCCCAGGAATTTTGATTTTTCCACCTGCTCCAACTGTAGTCCATGCACCACCAGCTACCATATTCCCAGCAACACCACCAACAGATTGTTTTCCGGCCAACTCCGCATACTTCTTTCCACCCGGAGTAGTGATAGTTTGTGGACCGAGGGCTGCCAATGTGTTAGCTGCGTTAGCTACGTTAGCTGCTGCAGCTTGCTGTGTAGATTTGGCTTTCTTGGCCTCTTCCTCCTTTTGGATCTGCTGAAGCGTCTTCTTAGGTGGTCCACTTTGGATAGGGAGGGTGGCAGACTTCATTAAAGGTTTAACATGTCCCCAAGCAGATGGTGCACTTCCTAGAGTCGTTGTCGGACTATTGCTGCTTGCCCATGTGGCTGTGGAGGGAAGACCTATTTGCGGTGTAGCAATCGGCTGTGCAGCGGCATTGTTTTGTTGAAGAGCTGCCTCTTTGCGAGCCTGCTCAGCCATTGCCTCCGCCAATGATGCAGCCTGTTTTGCCTCCATCTCTTGAATCTCCTTCAGCGAGGGTCCCTTAGATACAGTAGATTCCTCAACCTTTTGTGCCCATGGAGCAACTGAGACGCTAGAGCCTGGATGCTGGGTATCCACCGGTGAGTTGCGTACCGCATTAGAGATATTAATGGAAAGTGGCGCCGCGTTTGGTGGGGGCGGGAACGGCGTCGGCATAGGAGAATTCTCGTTTTGTACTTGTTGCCATGGAGAGGACGCGTTAGGCAGCTTCCGGGGCTGGGCCTGGGGGGAGGTAGCTTTCGGAGTTGTCATCTTCCTCACCTGTGTTTGGCTTTCGGTATAGGTAGAGAATGGAGGAGGAGATTTCGTCTTGGTAGCCGAGGTCTGAGGATGGTTCCCCCAGACCAAGGCGATAGGCTGAGTGCTAGTATGGCTGGTCAGTTCCTGCATCTGAGCAGTCTCCTCAAAATCCTGTTCGTCGGTAGTTGCCTCCATTTGCGTAACAGCGGCTTCCACTTGCTGCTGCTGCTTCTGATGATTATCCATTTCCCCATTTTCCTGCTGTTGTCGCTCAACTACATGCTGACACTGTTTGTCTATAGTGGCCTGTTGCAATTGAAATGCTTGATGCGCCTGTTGTATCTGCTGTTGCGCTAGGATCGGATTTGGTGGTTGCTGGTGTCCAAATACGGGGGTTTGCATGGGTGGTTGTTGAATTGCTCCAGGGATCATATTTCCCTGGTTTATCCCATGTTGCAAAACTTCATCCAACCTACTTGGCCCAAAGCCATCGAGATTCACAGCCGCTTGCCTTAGGAGGGCGCCCGGCTCGAAGCCATGATGTCCTTGCTGCAAAGCCGAAATTCCGACCGAGCTCCCAATGCTTCCAACACCAGCCCCTATGGGTCCAACTGCACTAGCCGCCCCGAATGTTCCGATTCCACCTAAGCCATGCGCACCAGCCCCAATTGGTGGCTGGAGATTACCCAAACTTGGTTGAGTATGGAGATGGTGAACTTGTTGCTGTACAGCTTGGGCCTGCTTTACCGCAATCTGCTGCTGAACTAGGAACTCTCTCTGCCTCGCCATTAAGAATTGCTCCTCTTGCTTCCTACGCTCAAGTGCATTTTGCTGATCAGCAGTAAGAGTGGTGCCAAAGGTAGGAAAGCTATTAGCGAACGGAGGCTGAACGGTTCCTGGTGGCTGATTGACATTGTCCGACCACCCTGAAGCAGGGCCCCAAGAAGGCCCCCCCTGAGTCAATGGGACAAGGCCTTGAAGAGGTACAAGGAAAGGCTCTCTTTGATTCCCGATCCTTCTGATAAGCTGACTCAGTGGCTCGAACTCAGGATCCTCGACTCGTTTTACGTAGAGGTCTTGAGGAAAGTAGCCACCTTTAAACCAGTCATGCATTTCAAGCCCGGAAAATGGACCCTGAACGACACCCTGCGGATCACGATATTCCCATTGAATCTTATCCGGCATAACAAGAGCAGTTTGTTGAGCAGTTGTTTGTGCCATAGTGGGAATTTGTTGCTGTTGCGCAGATTGTCTAATTGGTGGGGTCGGCTGTGAAAAGTTATGGAGGCCCTGAAGTCCTCCATGGTGGCTATCCCCACCCATCTGTGAGAATATAGAGCCATCTCCTGCACCTCCTGCAAGAATACCTCTGCCTCCTTGCAAACTGAATAAGTCGTTCACATCATTTCCTCGGAGAGGACTTTCTGCACCCCCCAGACCACCACCACTGAGTCCAAACAGCCTCCTTCCAGAGTTGACGCCCATGCTTCCCCCTCCGCCCAATCTTAGCCCATCGAAACTGTCACTGGAATCGAGAGTGCCGTCGATTCCATGTTGCTGGTGTTGCTGGTGTTGCTGATGCTGCTGATGCTGCTGATGGTGCTGATGCTGCTGATGCTGCTGGTGCTGCTGGTGCTGCTGGTGCTGCTGGTGCTGCTGGTGCTGCTGGTGCTGCTGGTGCTGCTGGTGCTGAAACTCCGTGTCCATGAACAAAGCTCCCAGCTTACTAGACCTGCTCATGCTGCCAAACCCGGCCCCTTGACCACTACCTCCGAGGAGTGACCCCCCCCCTATGGATGAAACTTCAGCTCCTAGTGTACCGAAAAAACTTCCAGGGCCAGCGTTCACTCCTCCAAGTCGACTAGGAGTCCCAAGCGGGAGTCCACTCCCAGTGCCCCAGAGTCCGCCACCTGGAGTCCCAAGATCACCCATCCCGAGAGTCCCTAGTCCGCCAAGAGCACCTCCCACTGTAGCAGTAGAGTTTCTGCCACTCCCGTCGCTGCCAGGACCTCCTTCTCCGACGCCAGACCTCCTTAAGCTCCCCCCCCAAGAATACCCACAAACCCTGAATCGTCATCATGAAATCCACTGGTTCCCAGTGCAGATTCATCTTCTTTTTCCGGAGCAGGGCTTTGGTAGGGGTTAGTCTCGGTGGGACTTAGTGGTTCAACTTCTCCAGATCCTTCTTGGCTCGTCTCACCGCCTATCAACCTTGAGCCTTGTGCATGGCTGTTCCCACCTGCTTGTTGATTGATGTTTAAGTCCCTTAGCTGTGAATGTAAGCTCCCTAGGCCGCCAACCGCAACAAAGTCCCGTGAGTCAAAGCTGTGGTCGCTAATGTTACGCGTAGGAGTTGTCACAGAGCTCCCAGCGCCACTAGTATGCGAGAAAGGGGAAGTGGCTTTTAGTCTAGCCTGTTCCAACCCAGCAGCCGCAGCGATAGATGAGTAAGGTTGCTGTTGTCTGTTGATATCAACTTGCAAGAACTCAGCCAATGAGTCTCTCCTACCATATGGATCGGTGTCAGATGACATTGGCCTTTCTCCATGTTGGCAAACTTCGTTTTCTTTGCTCCCTTCCCTTGGATCGAACGCAGCACCCGCATCTTGGAAAAATTGATACCTTTGAGACTGTTGTCCCATATTGGATTCGAAAGCCTCATTCTCTTCATCCTCTTCTTTCAGCACATGTTGATAGGTGTTCTCATGTAGCCTTTGGGATCGGTCCTCATCCAGTTGCTCTCCGGATTTGGACAATGGTCGTTTTTCACCTTCAGCATCCTTCTCAGCGTCTTGCTCACCCGAGCTCGACTTCACGGAAGATGCAGAAGATTTCTCACCAACCCCGCCCGAATCACCCCTGGAACTCCCTGTCTTCGACCCCAATTTCTTATCAGTGGAATTACTGGCTGAGGAGCTTGGAACTCCGCCACTCAACGCAAATCCAGCGGAGCCTCCGAACGCACGATTGTTGAATGCCGCAGCACCCCCCCCCGCAGAGGCTAAACCCATGCCCAAGGCAAGTCCACCTGCAGATCCAATGCTAGAACTACCCCACGCAGCACTACCGCGACGGAAAAGTCCCATAGAACGCCCGACAG